AAAAGGAATAGTTTTTTAGTAGAAAAATATTCGATTTTGATTTACCTAATTATATAAATTTAGCAATTCCAGTTTTTTTTGTAGCATTAGTGATAGAAGTTTCTATACAGATCTATAAAGTTAAATATAAAAATGAAAAATCAGATCATGATTTTAATGACACAATTTGTTCAATTCTACTAGGCTCGTTACAGGAAACATTTCATTTTTTTATTAAACCTTTATTTTATATACCATATCTATATGTGTAAGTATACTTTGTAAAAATTTAAAATAAAATTAAATTAAAAATACTAATTCTTTTTATTTTAATTTTAGATGGAGCAATTTTAGAATTTATAATATATCAACTGATAGTTGGGCAAGTTTTATTATTGGATTTTTAGGTATTGATTTTTCAATTTATTGGTAATTATTCTAAATATAAAAAATTGGTTATATAATAAGTACTAATATTTTCTTTATTAAAGTTTTCATAGAATGGGACATGAATTTAATATATTTTGGGCAATACATGTAGCACACCATTCATCAGAGTTTTATAACTTTTCATCAGCTATTAGACAAGGGATGTTTCAATATTTATCACCATGGTTACATTATTTACCAATGGCATTTTTTGTTCACCCTATCCATTATTCTTTTCATCATCACTGGAATAGAATATTACAATTTTGGCTTCATACTAAATTATTTGATTTTGAATGCAGATGGATGGAATATATTTTTATTACTCCTAGGTTACATATGGTTCATCATGGTAATTATTTTAAACTAAATAAATGTATATTCATTAAATATTAATTTTTTTTTTTTAAAGCTAAAAATCCACAATATATTGATAAAAATTATGGTGGTATTTTAATAATTTGGGATAGGTTATTTGGTACATATAAAAAAGATGAAGAGGGTGTAGAAATGGAGTTTGGTATTACTGAAGAAGTGAATACATTCTCTACAATTTTTTTAAATTTTCATCACTTTATTCAAATGTATAATATATCAAAAAGATTAAAAGGGTTGCACAAATTAAAAGTAATTTATAAAGCACCCGATTGGACACCGGAAAAGGAATATTTAGAATCAGAATTAAATCCAAAAGAATTAAATAATAATAATAATAATAATAACAGCAAAAATATTTTAATTGAAAAAAAGATTACAGACCGTAAAAAGGAATCGATTAATGATACATTTAGTATAGTAATGTGTGGCTATTTATTATTAGAATCTACAAATATTAGTATGCTATTATCAACATTGGAAACATTTAAATTTGAATTTACAGATGCAGATATCTATAAAGTTGGTGCTGTTCTCATTCTTCAAATTGTGTTTGTTGGCTCAATTCTCTCAAAAAACAATAGTAGTCCAATTACAATTATCAAGAAATATGAAAGCAACTATGTTCCAAAAAAATTAAAAGTTTCATTCTTTGAAATCTATCCATCACTTTCCATTATTCAAATGTTAAGATTATTCGTTACCATTGTTTTCTTTTATCAAATAAGCGTTTCAACGATAACTCCTAAAATTTATGTATTTTTTAACTTTTTATTTAAATTTACTGTAGCTCAAATGTTTTCATGGATAATCGCTATATTTTTCTCTTTTCATAAAAATATTGTAGTTAATTCTGAAATACCAAAATTAAATTATAAAAAACAATAAAAATATTATTTATATAAATTATTTTTACACTTTTTAATTTATTTTTATTTTAGTTTAATTAATTTTATTTTATTTTATTTTATCTTACTCTAATTTGACCAATTTCAACAGCATTAATTGTTTGAACTACTGCTTTAGCTAAACCTTTTGAACATTTTACTAATTGTTGTTTATTTGTATTGGCATCATCATCCTCTGAAGCAGCTTTAACTGCGGCAATAATTTTAAGTTGGACAGTGAAATTTTTAGCAGCTTGAGCGGCAGTGATAATTTGTTCTTTAAGTTTTGGATCTGTACATTTAGCAGCAGTTTCTTTAGCTTGAGCTAAATAAATATTAACTTGTTCAGCTAAAAGTTTAGAACATTGAATCATACCCTTCTTATCGTTAGTTGAGGCAGCAGTTGAAAGATCTCTCATAATACCAGCAATACCTTGGGCGGTGCTATAAAGTTTACCTTCTGGAGTAGAGTCTTTGTTGAGATCTTTTGTTCTTTCGGCAATTTTTTGTGCAGCGGCCATAACTTCATCTTGTTGGGCTTTTTCTCTTTCTTCTTTTTCACGTTGAATACGTTCTTGCTCGGCCTTGAATGCAGCTTCACGAGCTTCTCTTTCTTTGTGTTCTTTTTCTAATTTTTCATTTATAGCTTCACCAACAATCTTTTGATTGGATGATTTGATATCATTGGTAACCTTTTCAAGCTTATCAAGATTTGATTTATCAATCTTATCACCACCTGATTGAATTGATTTATTTGCGGCATCGAGTTGTGGTAATAACTTATCAATTTCATTGGCTCTATTGATTAATTCTTGTTTTCTATTTTGATTTTCAGTTTGAGCTGCAAGTGCACGGGCTAAAACTGATTGTTCTGAAGCAGTCTTATAAACAGTATCAACATTACCTTGAACTTGTTGTTTATCGCTAGATTTGGCACCATTAATAAGTTGTTCAGAATCACGATGAATTGAAGTACCATTAGCAATAATTTTATCTTCTGGAGCTTTGTTGATTAATGAAATTGTAGTTCCAACATCTTCAAGGGCTTTCTTGTATTGAGCGGTGGCATTTTGTTTAGCTGCAGTGTCTTTTGGTTGAACTAATAATGTATTAGAATTATTTACAATAGTTGGAATAGTTTGATTAGCAAGACTGTTAACGTGGGCTCTAATCTTATCATTTTCTGGTGTACCACTTGGCAATGATTTGGCAAGAATTTTAAGACGGTTTTCAGTATCTTTAAGATTGGTAGTAGCTTCACCAATACTATTTTGATCACCACTTTCAATAGCACCATTGACACGGTTAATATCATTGGTAGCTTTGAGTAAAACTTGATTAAGGTGATTAGATGGATCTTCACTGTTTGATGAGTTACCTACAGCTTTAGCTAAGAGTTCTTTGGTTTGATTAATAACTTCATTGAGTTGAGCTTGAGCAGTGGCGTCATTTGGTTTACTAGCAGCATTATTAGCAGCATTGGTGATTGGTTGTGAAATGGTTTTTAATTTTTCAGCAACTTCATTTAATGCAACCTTCTTATGTGGATCTTTAGATTGTTCGGCTGCTTGTTTAACTAATTGAATAGTATCACCAATTTCTTCACGAAGTTCTTTGAGATTAGATTCAACTTCAGCTTTGTTACCTTTCTTTGATGAAGCAGAAACTCTATCGAGTGTTTCATTAATTTTAACGGCTTGAGAAAGAATACGGTCTTCATTTGAGCCTGTTGAAGCACTGATAACTTGGTTGGCTGATAAGGAACTTGAGTTAATGAGTTGTTTAAGTTGTTTTGATTGTTCAGCTGTAATTGGCTTATCACCGACTTTAGTTTCAATAAATTGAACAGAGTCATTGATATTCTTTTCGAGATCTTTAATAGCATTGTTAATTTGTTTTTTGGTATGTGGATTTTGAACTTTAGCGGCATAAGCTTTAAGTAACTCGACTTTTTGTTTAATTTCAGCAGATTTAAGTTCCTTGATAGCCTTATCGACATCTTTACCAGAAGCAAGAGAGGATGAAAGATTGTCAAGATCTCTTTTAATTGAATTAGCGGTGGCAATAACTTGTTCCTCTGGTACTTTATTTGATGAGGCAGCAATGAGTTGGGCCATTAAAACACGTGTAGCTTGAGCAGCTTCGGCAACTTTAGCTTTATGTGTGGCACTATTTGGATTAGCAATTGATTCTTTAACAGCTTGTTGGAGAACTAATGATTGTTTCTCTAATTTATCAGATAATTCAATAATAGCTCTCTTTTGTGCAATGTTATCTGTGTGTTCTGCAATGTGTTTTGAAAGTTGAATTTGTTGTTTGATACCATTAATTGCTTTTTGAACACTATCATTGGCTTCAGCAGAGTTATTTTTAACTAAAGCTTTTTCTACTTTATTAAGTTCATTTGCGACTGCATATGATTTGCTTTCGAGGTGTTCACTTGGTGAAGTGGATGAAATAGATGAAACGTGTTCTACTTCATTCTTTAATTTTCTTAAAAGAGCTTGAAGTTTCTCTCTTGACTCTAAACTATTTGGATTAGCAATAAACTCCATAACTGAGGGGTAAAGTTGATTTTGAAGCAACTCAAGATCAGCAATAGCCTCTTGTAAGAGTTTCTTTCTTTCTGGGTCGGTAATGGATGACTCTGCAATTCTTGCTAAAAAGAGTTGTCTTGAAAGTTCTTCATTAAGATCCTTGAAACAACGCTTGACTTCTTCTAAATCACCACTCATTAAAGCGTCCTCTAAACGACCAATTAATTTGAGAAGAACTGGTGCGCCATATACTAACTCTTCGGCAGTTGAGAAGTTATTTCCGATTAAATCTAAATTGGCTTTAATTGCTTGGTCCAAAAGGCTTTGAACTTGTTTCTTTGCATCTTGATCATTTGGATTTTCAATTGATTTCTTGCATGCACCAACCAATGATGATACAAGTTGGTTAAGACGTTCAGTTGAATCTAATAAATTCTTTTTACTATTTGGATCTTTAATGGATTGAGCATGTTGATGAGCTAATCTTATGTGATTATTCATCTTTCTCATGAGTGAGTTAACTTCTTGAATTGTAACTGGTTTACCATTTTCGAGATTGGTTTGAATTCTTCTCATCTCTTGGTCAATCTTTGATGAATTCTCTAAAAGCTCTTCTTCGGTTGTTAAGAATACTGCATTATTTAAATCCTTATTGGCTTCACGAATAGCACCAATACTTTGAGCAAGGGCAGCTAAATTATCTGGATTCATTTCGACAAGGTTGGCCTTAACAGCTTTGACAAGATCTGGACCAGTATTAGTTAAATCAACAGCTCTATCCTTAATTCTTTGGGCCCTATGTTCGTCACCTGAGCTACTGACATATGTGGATGCTAACTCTGCAACAAGACCTTGTTTTTTAATATCTTCAATGATACCTTTTAATACTTGAACAGTCTTTTGTTGATCACCAGTTTTGATTGATTGAACTAAACCAGCTAAATTTGATTCTAACTCTCTAGTGTTATTTGACATGATATCTCTTGAAACAGCACCAAGGAAAGTTGCATTTAATGCATCAATATCGGCAATAGCTTCGTCTAATAAAGCAATAGCTTTTGGATTTGTTGTATCTTCAACTACAAGCTGAGCTGCGGTATAAAGATTCTTGATCATATCGTCCAATTCCTCTTCAGCTTTGAGAATAGCGGCTTGGAGAGCTTCTTTCATATGTTGATCTTCGGTTACTCTTTCAATGGAACGAGCAATATTTAATTGATCATTCATAGCCTTTCTAATGAGACGAAGAGCATTTTGCATTTCTTTCTTGTCACCAGCTAAAGCAGCTTGTTTTAATTTTGCTAAATTTTCTTCAATGATCTTATGATTTTCATAAACTTGGGTGCTGGTACCTAATGAAACTGTCTTTAAGAGATCTTTACTAATTTGGTCCAATTGAGTTAATAATGCATACATTTCATTGGATATGTCTCTGTTATTTGGATCGCTTTCTAATTGTGGACGTAAATCCTCTAATTTACCAATGATTAATGAACCTCTATGTCTTGCTTCTCTTGATGCATATTCTAAAGTATGTTTAATTGTTTCATCCTCGGTGGAGGCTGCAATACCATCAACAATATCAACAATTTCATTGAAGGCTGGTTTGAGCATTGGAACGTTGGATTTAAGTCTATCGAATTCACTCTTTGAAATATTGCCTTTAATCTTTTCAATTAAATCTTCAAGAATCTTTGTTGCATCTGCTACATCATTTGATGATAATCTTGCTGAACTTGTTACCATTTGATCTGATGCATCCATAATTGTATCCAAATTTGCCTTTAATCTATTTAATAAAATTGAATTATCTGGTTTTGCTAATAACTCTTCAACTGCTTTACCAAAATGTTCAATAAGATCATCTAATACCTAAATTAAAAAAGTTATTAATAAATTATATTTTAAATAAAAAAATAAAATAAAAATAAAAGAAATCTTACATATTTAGCATGTCTTGCAGCATCTTCTAAACGTTTCTTTTCAAGTGGATTATCAGTAGCTTTTGCTAAAGCTTTGGAAATAACAATTTGGTCATTCAAACCTTTCTTAATGGCTTTTAATGCTCTAGATGCTTCTTTACCATCACCAGCTATATTTTAAAAAGAAAAAATTAATATTTGAAAAGAGTAAAAAAAAAAAAAAAAAAAAAAAAAAAATTAAAATATATTACCTTCAATAGCAGATAATAATTTTTGTTTTTCTTGAGCAATTAAAATATTTGCATCCTTTAAATCATCTTCATCTCTTAAATCGAGACCTTGAATCATTGATAAGTCGAATGGTGATTTAGCTGATAATCTGGCAACAGTAATAATTTCATCGATAATAGCGAAAATTGTATTTGCAACTTTATGACCTTCGTTGAAAGAATGTTTATCGTTTCCATCTCTTTGGTAATAAGCAAAATGTTGAAGAACGACTGGAACCTCTACCTTTAATGAATTGTTGGCTTCTTCGAAACGTTTCTTTAAAGCATAATCATCGATTTCATTTATTCTTTTGGTGACAATTTTACCGACATCTACAGTGGAGGTTACAAAATCTTGTGCAGCAGTTGCAAAGAAGGTTTCTCCTGGATCCAGACCAATGAAAATTTTTAATTTACTTTCGGTACGTCTTGCAGCTCTAATTAAACGAGTGACTTCATAAAGATCGGCCTGTTGAAGTAATACAACCATGTGCTCCATAATACCCTTGGCGCCTTTGAGTAAAGTCTTTTTAGCTGGTTTGTTAAATGGCATATTTGAAAGAATAGTTGCTGCCTCTAAAAGGAATGCTGTTGCTTCTCTAATTTGATCGCATGTATTAACCATTTTAATTTTCATATCTGGTTGATTGAAATTATCCCAAAGTAAGGCACTCTTTGCAGCTAAATCAACTAAATAATCGACTGTTGACTTTACACCTTGTGCTCCTGGTAAAATATTTGGAATTGCTGCATTGCTTTCATCTGCTTCTACAGAATATAAAACCATTGATGATACTGCATCGCTGATTGCTTCTAATAATTGTTCCATTTTTAATTTTTATAAATATATAAATATATAAAAAAGTAGTAGTTTATAATTTACTATTTATTATTTATTTTTACTTTATTATTACAACAATATATTAATTTAGTATTATTATTATTATTTTTATTATTATTATTTAATTTAATATGTTTGGGTGTGTGAGAAAACAAAAAAATTAATAAAAGAAAAAAAAAACCAAAATTATAATTATTAAAAAAAAATTATATAAATTATAGGGGTGGGTTTTTTAAAATAATTTGGATTGGAGGATTAAAAAAAAAAAAAGTGTGTGGGTAGTGTATATGTTTATAATTATATGGTTACAACAAAAATACAGATAAAGATAATTAAGAATGCAGAAGTTTTTTATTAAAAAAAAAAGGTTAAAAACACAAAACACACACGATCTTAAATACCGATCACAATATAAATATAATAATACAATCAAAGATAATAAATAATATTAAAATAAAAAATTTTAAAAAAAATAAATAATATGAAATTAATAAAATAAAAAAAATTTAAAAAAAAATTAAAAAAAAAAAAAAATTAAAAAAAAAAAAAAAAAATTTAATTTTGGTCCACCAATTTTTATATTAAAATTTCTCCTTTTGCACCAAAAGAAGCCTTTTATTTACATTTTTCTGTAAAACATAAAGTAATTACTCTCACATAGACATATAAAAGTTATTTCATATTCAATAATAATTTTACAATTTTGCATTTTCTATTAACTAATTAGGATCAATGAAAAATGATTGGAAATTAAATTCATATTCCAATTTACAAAATAAAAAAAAAGGGGGGATGTCTATCAAAAAATATCTTTATTTTTTTTTTTTCTATTTTCTATTTTTTAAATGATTCAATGAATATGAAAATATTATAAAATATTTTATTTAATTTTATTTTTTTTTCATAAGACCCCATTGTTTTTTTTTTTATTTTTTTTTTTTTCTCAACTATTCACATACGCACAAGCTCCTGAAAATCAAAAAACACATTTTAAAATGTGATTATGATTAAAGGAGCAACAACCCCACAGCCACTCACTAACTCACACACACAATAGAAATTAAAATATATATTTTATCAAAAATTGAATTTATTAAAAAAAAAAATCTTTTTAATTTTTTTTTTTTTCTTTTTTTATTTTATATTTTATATTTTATATTTTATTTTTTGTTTATATAAATAATATAATTAATAACTATTTAATTTAAAATATAGAAGTTACTTATAATATACCAAATATAAAATTAATGTATATAAAAGTAAGAAATATTCAAATCTATTTGTTTTTTATTTTAAAATTATAGTTTTTATTATAATTATTTATTTTATTTCTTTCAATAAAAATTATTTAAATAAAGTTTTTAAAATAATAATAACCACAAAAACAATAATTTAACAATATCAATAGCAAGATTAATAATCTATTACCCATTTTTTGCAATTGCAAAAATTCTTTCAATATTTTATCTTTAAAATAAAGGTATAAAATTCCCACTCAAAATATAAAAAGATCAAATTTTATTTGTTGTTATCATATTATTTTATATTTAGTTTTTAAAAATTATGACACTATGCCCAAAGTGGCATTTTTTTTTTTTTTTCCAAAATTTTAATTTTTTTTTAATTTTATTTTATTTTCAAATTCATCACAATATCTTTTAAAAAAGAAAATCAACTTGTTTTCTGTTGATTTTATTTGTATAAAAAATAATTTTTTTTATTTTATTTATATTTTTTGTCTTATTTTTTTTTTTTATATAGCTAACTATCATTATCAGTATTTCCATTATCACTATCATTTTTAAAATCATATACCCCCACCTTTTTTATATAAATTTCACTTGTATTGTTCCAAAATTTATTTTATTTTTTTATTATACCATTATCACTATCATTATTATCAATATTAATTTAAAATAATATTTTTATTTTAATTTTAATTTTAATTATAATTTAATTTAATATTGATAGTAGCAGTAATTGATTTTTTATTTATTTTAAAATATCAAAACAAAAAAAAAAAAAAAAAAACAGATTGCAAAGATGTTCTCTTTTTTTTATTATTGTATTTTTGTTAAATTTATTTTTCTCCAATCAAATGCTTGTTTTTGCAATGTTACCCCATTAATTTTTTTTTTCCTAAATTAAAATTTTATTTTTATTCATACTACCATTTTAGAGAGAAAAAAAAAAAAAAAAAAAAAAATTTAACCCCCCACATTTTCTCACTCCCACATATGTGAATTTTTACATTTTGTGTTGTGGGTGCGCTTTTTTTTGTTTGTCTTATGATTTATCTTTTTTTTTTAATCTATTTATTTTATTTTATTTAATTTAAATTTATTTTATTTTATTTAATTTTACTTTATTTTTTTTTTAAAAATAATATATAAATTAATACAATAATTATGGTATTATATTTTATTATTTTTATTATTTTCAAATTATCATTATCACTATTATTATCAAATTTTTTTAAAAAGATTTCTATTGGATAAAGGGGGAAAAGAAAAAAAAAAAAAAGTTTGGATCTCATTTTTTTTTTTTTTTTATTAATAAATAATCAAAATCAACAACACAATCACTATCATCATAATAATCAAATCAAACACCAACATCATCATCTTTAACAATAACACATTAAAAAAAAAAAGTTTGTGCTTTGAGTATAAAAATGGAAAAAAATAAACTTCAATAACAATAACAGTAACAGTAATGGGTTTTTTTTTTTTTTTTTTTTCTGGTTTTTATTAAATTTTATTTTATTTATTTTAATATGAGAATAAAATTAAATTGATGAAAAACCTATATTATCAATATTCAATAAAATATTATTTTATATTTATATAATTTATACTCTCTCCACTTCATACACACACATACCCAGATTCCAATAATACCCACACCAACAACAATACACTCTCCCTAATAATTATTATATTTTTAATTTAGATAAATATAAAAATATACCCACACTATCAACCAACAACAACACACACCTAAATTAAAAACAACAAAGAAAGAAAAACAATAAAACTCACACACAACTTCTCACTCACACATTCACACAGCTAAATTCTCATATTTTATACACATATATTTTTTCATTTATATACAATTTTATTTATTCTCTTTTTTTTTTTTTTCTCTCTTCAATAATATTGATAGAATTTAGATAGAAAGGCGATATAACAACTTTTCAAACAAAAATTAAAAAGGGTATGTGCTAAGAGTGTGTTCATTTTATTTTATTATATACATATATGTAGTTTTTTGCGTTTTTTATTTTTTTTTTTTTTCTTTTTTTATTTTTATTTTTGGTGTTAATTATTGATTTTAAAAAAAAATCAATTATAATAATTTAATAAAATAATAAAATAAATTTAATTAATAAAAATAATAAAATTTTTTTTTTAAATATATAATTATAAAATTTATTTAATAAGCTTTTATTAAATATAATTTTAATTTTTTTTATTTTAAACAAAACAAATTTTTTTTTAAATTTATTTTTTCTCTCTTCTTTTTAAATTTTTTTTTTTATTATTTCATTTACAAGTTTCATTTATTCAATCACTTTTAAATTTGGCCAAAATTAAAATTAAATTTTAGGTTTTAAAAAAAAAAAAAAAAAAAAAGGTAATTTAATTTTAAAAAAAAAAAAGTTTTATTTTATTTTTAAATAAACTCTCTTTTATTATTTTTATTTTTTTTATTATTATAAATCATTTTAAATTTTATTATTAAATAAATAAAAAAAAAAATTGTGTCTTTTGTTCTATTTTCATAAAAATAAAATATAAAAAAAAAAAAAATAAAAACCCCAAAAACAGCTTTAACTGTTTTTTAACTTTTATATCCATAAAACATTTTTTAATAAATCAACAGCTTTGTAAAGTTCTAAAAAAAAAAAAAAACCAATATAAAATAAAATAAAAAACATACATTTTTACACATTTTTTTTTTAATTTATTTTTATTTTTTATTATTATTTTAATTTTTATATAAAATTATTTTTTTATTTTTATTTTTTATATTTTTTAATAAAATATATATAATTAATTTAAAAAAAAAAAAAAAAAAAAATAATTTTATTCTTTTACAAAATTTTAAAATTATCATTTTTTTTCCGGAAAATTATTTTATTAATATTTAATATCCCCGGGTATGGTAGCCTTTTTTTTTTTTTTTTTTTTTTTTTTTTTTAAATCTAATCACACAATGAATTTTTTTTTTGTTTTTTTATAATTTTATAAAATTATTAACTTTTTTTTATCTTTTGAATCAATATTATAAAATAGATGTCAACACCAACAAGTCAGAGAATGAAAGGAAATGGAACTCACCATAACATCCAACTCCCAAGAACAATGATCGAAGATCCGTTATCACCCCCAACCCAAGAAAGCCAATCATATAGTAACAATAATAGTTTCTATGAAGAAATTGTAGATGATGCAATGGTTCAAAATCATCACAATAATCATCACTCCTTCAACAATCATGGCCATAACAATAATCATTTAAATAACTCATTAATAAACTATTTAGATGAGGAAGAAGCTAATGATTACTATGATGATGCAGAAGACTATGAAGAAATGGGTGATGGTAGTAGTGGTGGTGGTGTTTCAGATTCCGACTATGGCCATGGAAATTCATCAAGCTCTAAAGCTGGAAGTAGAAATAGAGAAATTTGGATAAATCCAAATATCGAATTAATGTTGAGAATTGCTCTAAGCACACCAAAAAACCCATACTATTACCACAACATTGCTAAAAAATTAGAAGAATGTGTTGGACGCAATATCTCGGAAAAATTGGTACGTTCTCAAATGACTAATCTTCTTGGTAAAAATTCGAAATTTTTTAAACATCCATATAGAGAAATTAAATCGAAACCAGGAATCCCAAAATCACTCATCAATTCTCATAATATAAGAGAAAAACAAATTTGGGAAAGTTGTAAAAACTTAATTACCGAAATTAAATCTAGTCCAAATTATTATTCAATTAGTAACTTTAGCCAAGGTCACTCAAATCACAGTGGCTCAAGCAATACTAATAGCAACAACAACAATTCGGGTCAACAATCTGCATCTTCTTCCTCCTCCTCTTCCCCATCATCACTTTCATCGTCCCATAGTTCTAATATTCATTTTTCAAATCAAGGACATTCTTTAAAATTATCCAGTGGTGGTAGTCCAGCTAGTAGTTCTAATAACTCATCCTCATCCACTCATTCATCTTCATCATCAATAATGAATGGTTTAAGTGGTAGCGGCAGTGCTGGTAGTTCAAACTATTCTTATCCATCACCCCCACTTTCAGAAAACCATTTACAATTATCTTTACCATCTTCAAAATCAAATAATAATATGAATAATAGTTCAAACAGTGTAAATAATAATAACAACTATAATAATTTTAACTTAAATCACCATCAACAACAATCAAATAATGAAAACAATCTTAAAAAATCTCAAACCATTTCAAATCCAAAAAAAAGAAAAGTTAGACCTTTTGAAAATAGAAAATTAGAACAAATGCATCTTATCAGAGACAAAGTACTTGAAACTTTAAATAAAATCAATGATCTAATCGACTCAATGAAGAATGAATCTGATTTTGAAGATAGTGACTATGACATTTAAATAATATCAATGATATAACATAATAATAATAATAATTATATATAAAAAAAAAAATTCATATAAAAAATACAAAGGAGAATCAATTATAATATTAAAATGTATATATAAAACTAATATTATAAAACTTAATAATAATTTAGAATAAAAACAAAAAAAATAAGTAACACTAAAAAAGCAAAAAAAAAAATTGTAAAAAAAAAAAAAAACATATTAATTTAAAAAGATATATAATAATAATCTTTTCTTTTTTTATTTTTTACATTTTTAAAAAAACAATAAAACTAAATATAAATTTTATAATTTTTTATCTAAAATATTTCAAAATCTTTTATTTTATATTTTTTTTTTTTAAATTTTATTAAAGTTTCCTGAGATTCATAATAGATATGTCTTTGCAATATGACTTTAAAAATAATATAAATGAATAAAAATAAGTGAAAATAAACTTTTTTTAAAGTAAATTTATTAATATTGTTTTATTTTAATTTTCACACAATTTTTAAATACTACAAATATTATCAGTCTGTAAAAAAAGAAACTTTATAACTATCATTTACTAATTTTCTTTATTAACTTTTTTAATAGACTGCATTTTTACAATTTCGAATGGTTTAACTGATGGGTCATAGTCCCCAATATAAATTGGTTCCCATTGTCCAAAATGTTCAATTTTTTCTTCTTTCGATAAATCATTAATCCAATATTGGTTATTATCTTTTTCCCATTTATCTGCATTATCAAGAACCACTTTGAAAAGATCTTCTATTGCAATTTTATGATGTATTTTTACGTTTTCTGTTAAAAGATGTAACCCTGGATTAGTATTAACCTCCAATAATAGTGGCTCCAAGTCTTTGCTTAGTAAAATATCAAATCCTAATAATTCAAATGAACCTATTTAAAAAAAAAAAAAAATTAGAAATCTAAATAAAAAATTAAAATAAAAAAAAATAAAAAACTATAAAATATTAAAAATACCTTTATTCTGTGAATTATTAGGCCAACTTTTAATTGTAGTAATAATTAATTTTTTTATTTTTTCATCTAAACTTTCCCTCCAAATATCTTTACCATTATTCTCCTCCCTAAAAATAAATAAAAATAAAATTAATTAATAAATTATTTTAAAAACAACAATATACTGTAATATTTATAGTTACATTAAATGGTTTTTAAATAAATCTAATGACCATTGATTCTCTGGAAATGGAGTTTTATTATCCTTTAAAAATTCTTTTTGAACTTGAAAGTTGCTAAGATGAACAAATCTATCATTTAGGTTGTCTGTGGAGTATTCGACTGAACAAAATCTTAAATAGCATTCTTTTAATTTGAAAATAACCAGTGGGTTTAAACTTTTTACTAAAACGAACTGTCTTATATCAAACTTTGTGTTTTTGATGGTATATGGTAACTCTACATATTTCTGTGCAATATATTCATCATTTCCTTGCTTGGTATATTCTAATAACTGGGTTAAATTAGTAAAGATTTGAATACCAACACCTCTTGCTTGTGATGATGGTTTAACTATCCAAATATTTTTATTACCATCTATATGTTTTTGTTGTGGATAAACTGTTAAATTAGGATCATTATCTTTTTCTTCTTCTTGAATTTCATTTATCATATAGTTATTATTCTCTGAAATTAACAAATCTTGATTACTAATACCAATTAATTTTGAATTACCCCTGTTAAAATCCCTAATAAATGATTCTTTTTGTTGTAAATTTGAAAGATCATATGATCTTGGGAAAATTGTAGATATATGGCTGTTAAGTGATTGATCTCTATGATATAAATTATTTAGATTTGTTGTTAAACCTTTTTTTGATCCAATTTCATTATGATTTGGGAAATGATTAACAATTAGGTTTGGTGATGATGGATTTAACATATCCCAACTCCAACTCCATTTTAAATTTGAGGATCTAATTATTTAGTAATATTATATTAATATGTTTACAATTACGTCTATTATATAATAAAGAATTACTTACCTAGATTTTTTAACCTCTGAATATCCTCTGGCATTTAAAGCATCTCTAATTAAAGTATGATTAGATAAAACTTGATCAATTTTATAATGTTTTTTTCTATTTTTCAATGCCTCCTTTAATTTGTTATATTTCTCTTGATAACTTTCATCATTAATATCGGTTGTTTCTGGTGTTTGAGAACAATTTATAAAAATAACAACAAAACTAATTAATAAGATTAATACCAATAATAATTTCATTTTTATTACATATCGTTTGTAAAAATAAAAGAAAAAAATAGTTAAAAAAAAAAAAAATTTTGAAAATATCTTTTTTTAAAAAAAATAAAAAAAAAAAATTGGGGAAATAAACCCCCTAAAAAAATATCTGAAAAAAAAGTGATAAAGCTATGATGTATTTTATTTAAATATAGAAAAATTATAAAGAAAGAGATAAAATTAAATAAATTTTGAAAAAAAATATTTTAGTAATCTGTGAAATAAAAACATTGATATATATATTTTTTTTATAATAATAATTTCCTTTTTTTATTAATTTTTTTTTTAATTTGATTGTGGAGTTGGTTGTGGTTGTTGTGGTTGTTGACCATCTTCTGGTTTAACTTCATTTCTAATAGGTTTCATAGCTGGGAATAAAATAACTTCTTTAATATTGTAAGTATTTGACATTAACATAACGAAACGATCAATACCAAGACCGAAACCACCAGTTGGTGGTAAACCATATTCTAATGAGGTAACGAAAACTTCATCAATACCACAAGCTTCATCATCACCTTGAGCTTTAGCTTTAGCTTGTTCTTCGAAACGATCACGTTGAACGAATGGATTGTTTAATTCGGTGTAAGCGTTACAAAGTTCACGAGTATTAACAAAGAGTTCGAAACGTTCAGTTAAACCTGGAGTAGTTCTGTGGTATTTTGATAATGGACTCATAATTTCTGGATGATTAATAATAAAGGTTGGATTGATACATTGTGATTCTAAAAATTCACCGACAAGTTTATCAAGAAGACGAGCAGTGGTTTGTGGAGCTGAGCATTCAACTTTATGTACTTTACAGGCATTGGCTAAGAAAGTACGAGTTTCTTCTGAGGTGTATGGAGTTGGGATAGTACCAATGATTTTTTCTAATTCTGGAATCATATCAATCTTTCTCCATGGACCAGAGAAATCGATTTCGATTTCTTTACCAGTTGGACCATCTGGTTGATATTTAATTTTGAGGGTATTGTGGATATCCATAACAATACCTTGGATTAATTCTTCGGTCATTCTCATGATATCGTTGTAATCAGCGTAAGCCATATAGTATTCACAAGTTGTGAATTCTGGGTTGTGAGTGTGATCAATATCTTCATTTCTAAATTGTTTACCGATTTCATAAACACGATCCATACCACCGACTACTAATTGTTTGAGGTAAAGTTCTGGAGCAATTCTCATGAATAAATCTAAATTGAGAGCATTGTGATGGGTGGTGAATGGTTTAGCAGCGGCACCACCAGCAATCATATTCATCATTGGAGTTTCAACTTCGACGAAATTGAGGTTATCTAAATATTTTCTTACACCTTGAATAACTTTGCTACGAATGATAAAGTTCTTTTTAACGCTTTCATTACAAATCATATCTAAATAACGTTGACGGAAACGAGTTTCTAAATCGACTAATTGATTATTTGGTTTTGGAAGCATGTGTAAACATGGTGATAAGAGGATGACTTCAGTGGCAAATAATGATAATTCACCAGTCTTTGAACGACCAGCAGTACCAATAGCACCAATGATATCACCACGTCTAAGGAGACCATTGACTTTAGTGTATTCGTCTTCACCTGAAGCATATAAACGTTTGTTAACTAAAACTTGAACTTTATTGAATTCACCACTGAGATCATAGAAAACTAAACCTGAACCAGCAGCTCTTTTACTTAAAACACGACCTGCAATTGAAACAACTTGAGTTGATGGTGCATCATCTTTTTGAATACTTGAAAATTCTTCAACAAATTTTGGTAATGAATGTGATACATTAAATTTATGTGGCCATGGGTTAACACCAAGATTTGAATCATTTAATTGTTTAGTACGGTTTTCTTTATACATTGATGGATCGAAATCTTCTTCATCATTCTTTTTAGCAGCTCTATATTATTTAAAAATAAAAAATTTTAAAAATTAAAAAAAAAAAAAAAAATTAATATTTTATTTATACATTTAAAATCTAAATTCCTTCAATCTATTTTAACTGTTTGATTATTTGTTTTTTTATTTCATTTCGTTAAAAACAAATTAATTTTATTACTTTATTTTTTTATTTTTATAATATAAATTTTATTTAATACAAAATGTGCAAAAGAGTCGATTGTTCAAAATGTTCAAAACCAACTTGGGCTGGTATGTTATTTAATAATATCTTATTATATGTAATCTAATACTTATAAACTTTTTTTCATTTATTTTTAAATTATTATTTTTAGGTTGTGGTCAACATATCGAATCAGCTCTCGCTGGTGTCGCAGTTGAAGATCGTTGTAAATGTACAAAATGAATTACACTAAATAAAATTTTATTTTTTATTACTATTGCTTTTGTAACAAATAGATTTATTCTTTAAATACAAGCATTAAGCTTTAAAAAAAAAAAAAAAAAAAAAAAAAAATAAATAAATAAATTAAAATTTTAGCTTTTTTTGTTTTTTTAAAAGGATTAAATAATTGTTAATTATTTAGGTTTTTATTTTTATTTATTTATTATTTTATTTATTATTTTATTATTTTATTTTTTTATAATTATATTAAAGATAAATGTATATATTTATCATTTTTTTTTAAACAGTGGTAAAAATTTTTACCCCCATTATTTTTTTTAATTGTATTTCAAAACATGAGGGTTATTGTATAGAATATTAATTTACAAATAATTTCGGGGTACTTTGAAAATCATATTATTTTTTTTCAATTTGTAGTTTAATTTAATAAATAATTTTAAAAATATTTTTTAATATAAAATGGATAGTAGTAATAATATCAGTTTATTTCAATAGTTATTATAACATGGAGGTAATAAATATTAAATATAGAATAAACGATTTATTAATAGACAATAAAGATAATAATAAAGATTGCGATAAATATACTTGTCTAATATGCTGCGAATCATTATTTAGAAAAGAAATATTACAGTGTCGAGAAGGTATATATTTATTTTATTTAATCATAAACAACTAGATAAATTTAAAGATATTAATTTATAATAAAGGTCATTATTTTTGTTCTGGTTGTTGGGTTAAATCATTAGAGACCAATAAATCTTGTATGACATGCAGAGTTCCAGTGAATTCAATTGGGGAGCTATCAAGATGCCGTTTTTTTGAAACTATGTTTTTAGATAAAAAAGTATATTGCCCCTATTTATTTAAAAATATTATCGATTATTCAGATGATGGAAATATAAAATTATTAAAAGACTGCAAGGGTGGTTGTAAAGATATTATAAAGGTAGATCAATTAGAGTCTCATTTGGCAGATTGTAGACATAGGTTTATAAAGTGCAGCAACGAAGGGTGTAGTAAGGTTCTTAGGTTAAATCAGATAAAATCTCACCAAGATTGCCAGTATGTAATGTCAGCTTGTAAATACTGTAATGAAAAGGTACTTTTATCATCAATTAGAGGTCACTATTTAAGTTGTCTTAGTATATTTATCAAATGCCCACAATGTCCAATCCGATTGAAAAGAGGTGATCTATTGGATCATATAGAGAATATTTGTTGTAATACTATAGTCCAATGCAAATATAAAGATGGTGGATGTCCTGCTCAGTTTAAAAGGTCAGAATTATCGTCACATTTGGAAAAAATTAACCACGGAGCCTTTTTAAATGACTTGGTTGGAAGTCTTCAAAATGATTTAAAGGAATCAAATAAAAAATATTTAGACCTTTTAAAAAGATTTGAGGAAATGGAAATGGCAATATCAGATATAAATCAAGTGCAGTTTGACAAAAAGATTTCAAGTGAATGGATAATATCAAACTTTTCATCAATAAATTTAAATATTGGGGAGTTTTTTAAATCTCCTATCATAAAAATTGGGAACTATAGATTCGAAATGTTGTTTTATTTTAATATGACTCCTTATAATCTTGGTTCATTTTCATTTTTTATCAGAGAAGTAAATGGCAATCCTATTACAATTAAATTTTGGTTCAGGATTATAAATCATAATAGTTTAAATAATAGTATTGTTAAATATTTTATAAAAAGTAAAGTATTATTTTTTAACAAAAAAAATAAAAAATTACTAATAGTTTTTTAATTTAGAATTAGATCAAAATGGTTTAGGGTGGCCCAATATATTAGATTTTAAAAAAATTAACAAGGAGAATGGCTGGTTAAATAGTGATGAGTTTAAAATCGAATTTAAAATAACTTTAAAGCAAAATATATATCCTCTTTTATCAAATTAGTTTATATTTTTTAAAAAAAAAAGAAATAAAATAAATATTTTAACATTTAAATGGTTTAATTTTCCATATTTTTTAGTTTAATAAATATAAAATGTTTATTTAAATTGTAAGGTTTTTTAATAGTTTTTGTGTTTTTGAAATTTTTATTAATTTTAAAAAGTTTCCTTGGAGTGAGCGTTGGTTTGGTTAATCTCGACAAGTTTTCGTAGTAAGACGTTCCTCGTGGTTTTAATGTTGCTAATTTGTTTATTGGTTTCTCCAATGGCTTCTTATTTACTTCATTAAACTTATCTATAATAGCTTTTACTGGGGATATCTCTTTTGATGTTTTACTTACCATGAGGTCTAAATTTTAGTTTTGGGCAGTTTCTAAAGCTTTTATATTTTTCATACCAATCACTGTCCAATAATCTCTTCTAATTTCTAACCCGATTAGAGGTAAGCTCGTGTTGCTTTTAATGGCTCATCCCTATAATATCCACCTTTAATAAGTTTTTTTTTTTTTAAGTATTATTATTTGTTTCTGTTATTTTTTTAAAATTATAAAGAATGATTGAAAAAAAAAAAAAAAAAAAAAAAAAATTTTTTTAAAAAAAAAAAAAAATAAAAAAATTAATAAATAATAAAAATTAAATTATAATCCACCACACACTTTTTTTTTTTTAATATAATTTTTAATTAAAAACTAACTAGTATTGTTTAGTTTTTCCCATAAAATAAAAGTTTATATGCTCAATATAAATTTTTTTTTTGAAAATAGTTTCAATTTGTAAAAATTATTGCGCTACCAAATAATATCTTCATTAAAGACCAAATTGGTCGGTGAGTTATAATGCGAATATGGAGTGAGCAATTAAATTTTTAGGTTGGGGAATAATCTTGTCCAACAACTTCCAAGGATGTGTAAAAACGATATTTATTTTGCTTATTCATTTTATCTTCCCGGTGATGATTTTATTTTCTTTTTTGTAAATATATTATTATATTTTAATATAATAAATGTTTTTTTTAAATATAAATACAATGTTCAATAACCTCTATCTGAAAGACGGTTACAGTTAGAGCTCCACTCGGAGTTAAATGAACTATATAATAAAGAAATATAGGTATAATAGAAATATTGTTTAGAAACCTTTATTTAAGTATTTTAGTTAATATAAATAATTAGTATAAATTAAGAAATTTCCCTTTTGCCAAGTTGGTCACCTCACGCCTTAGTTGTGGATAGTGCACTTTATTACATTTGTAATGAATTGACCCCCTATTAAGTTAATAAAGAAATATAGTAAAGAAACCTTTATTTAAGTATTTTAGTTATTATATTATTAATTGTTATTATTATTAGAAGTTAGAAGATGATAATAATGTTTAATAAAGAATTATTACTGGAGTATTTATAGTGTCATAAACAAGTTGACATGAATGTATATATATGTTAAACATGTGACATTTTCAACTAAATATATTATTTATGGAAGATTATTACTATTTTAAGAGTTATTTATTATAAAACTAATTATTACTATTTTAAGAGATATTATTATAAAACTAATTATTACTATTTTAAGAATATTATTATAAAATTAATTATTGCTATTTTAGGATTGTTAATTATAAAAATCACCTTAAAGATGTTGATACTGTTTCATTACATATCTCCCCCTTTAAAAAGAGCTGGAGCATTACATAGACTGAATGGCTTCACCAAATGAACATAAAAACTTCGATAAGTGACACTGGCTGTTTTATACATGTCTTTTTTACTAATTGGAATTTGGTAATAATCTTTGAATAAATCTATGGCTGAAAATATAACCCTATTAACTAATTTTGTTCTAACTTTGCTTTGTTTTAACCTTTGAGTACCCATCTTCTTCGTTACTTTATTTTTCTTACGGATGTCACCTATTAAATGATAATTAATAACAGCTGAAACTGGATATGGTGCTTGATGAAGTTTTGATTCTTCTGTACCGTCTATGAATGGGATACTATGAAATATTTCTTTTGCTAGACTTTCTTTCTTTAACTTTTCTGGAATAATCTCTGAATAATTTTTCTTTAATTGAACGAATTTTGCTTGTTGAGGTGTTAAAATAATTGAACTATCTTGCGCTACTTTAAAATCTATATCTGGTCTTGGTGGTGTTACTATTTCTTTTTGATATGGCTGTGGACTAAAATCGATCTTTTCTAATAATTCTATACTATATTTATTAAATTTGACAATATCTTCGACTTTATTATTATTATTTTTACTTTTGTTATTATCATCATGATTATTATTATTATTATCTAATGGTGATTGTTGATTATCCTTAATACTATTATTAATATGAGCTGATGATGTTTGAATATTATTATTATTGCTATCTTTTGAATGTGATTGAATATTATTATTTGTTTTTGAAGATTGATTATTAAATAATTTATTATTTACCAATGATGAGTCGACTTTATTTAATGATGGTTCTTGAACTGGCTCAAAATGTAAGACTGTTGGTTCGATGTGTAAACGATTTACACTATAAATTTGATCTGGTGGAATAATAAGTGAGTCAAATAAGTCTTGATTGAATGTAGCATTCTCACTTGATTTATTACTTGCTGGAGTCTTTGCAATTGCTTGAACTGATTGTTCTGTATAAGAATACATTGGGACATATTGATTATGCTTAAATGAATATAATTTCATTTTTGTAACTATTGGATCTAATTTGAGAGATCTTAAAGCATCTAAACCCAGAATACAAGAGGCTGAAATGTCTTGATCTTTAAAAATTTCGAAATTAATATATGATTTTATTTTATTTCTCATTCTGACTTGGCATACGGCTTCACCTTGAGATGCCATTGAATGATTGCTTGCACTTGTAACTTTCTTTATACTTGAACGAACTGGAATATGCAACTTTTCAACTAATGACTGTCTCATACATGAAATACTTGCACCTGTATCTATTAAAACTCTGACTGGAATGCCATTAAACATAAGATTTGCACATATGTTATCCTTTTTACTTATATTATTAACACTACTAAGAGTTGATGAATTATTACTTGTGTTATTTCTTTTGTAATTATTTTTTGAATCATTTCTATTGTTACCATTATTTGATCTATAGTTATTGTTATTTGATCTATTATTACTGAATCTATTATAATTATTATATTTTGTCTGATTATTTCTATTGAATTTTGAATAATTATTATAATTGTTATACTTTGACTGATAATTATCTCTTCTATTACTATTATTATACTTTTCTCTACATTCTCTAGCTAAATGATTTGGATTACCACAATTAAAACATTTAACCCCACTATTTCTATTGACATCTATTACTGTTACTTCATTACTGACTACTGGAGTTAATCCTGAACTTGAAACACTGGCACCAAATACACCTTGAATTTCATCTTGGCGTAAATAAAGAGATTTACCCATTGTTAATTGATAATTCTTTTCGAGACGAACGATTTTTTCACTAAATTTCTGAAATGATGTATAACCTTCTACATCTGAAATATCTACCATTAAAGCTTTTGAGAAATTCATACCCAGGGCTGTCTTAAGAGTGACTATTGCAGCATCATCTGATAATTTTGCTCTCGTACGAACTGTATCGAAGACTAATAATAAACGTTCTAATGATTCGAATTTGCCCGTCCTGGTAAATTCACTAAATTTAAGTAATAATGTAGTAGGGAGATCTTGATAATGTTTTCTTAACTGTACTAAATTCTCTTCTGCAGTCTTATTTCCATTTGGATCTGTTCTTTGTAAATAAATTAATGCGTCACCTTTTAAACTTGAAATTAAATCTGAATTATCAAAACGTGGACCAAAATGATATCTAAATTGGAATTCGAATAAATCCCATGTTTTTTCAAAACCCATTGAAAAACCTCCTACAAATTTTGCATCTTCTGACAATGGTTTTCTCTTTCTTTCATACCCAAAACTTTGATTTCTATATCTATCGTTTTCTAATTTGAGAATAGCTATCTCTTTTAACAAATATTCTTTAAATTCATCACTTCTTCCTAAACCTGATGTATTAATATTTGAACCTGATGGATTATTATCATTATTACTTAAATTATTTGTTGGCGTTATTTTATCACTACTGCTACTACTTTCACTACTATTATTTTTTAAAGGTTTACTATCTTTATTAACTGTTGTGTTTTTAAACATTATTTTAATTTTATTTTATTAAATTTTTTTTTTTATAGATTTTATAAAACTATAACTCGAGAAAACACAAAACTATATTATTTCTTAAATATTTATTCTATTATATACTTTTAAACTGGGGTGTGTGTTTGTAAAAATTTAAATTTAATTTTATTAACTTTTTTTTTTTATAATTTTATTTTTTATTTTTATATCTCTAATTATTATTTCTATATTTATCCCTTCCCTTTTAATTCCTTTAGGTTCTGTCGAGCTGTCGCCAAATGTAATGAAATGACCCCCCTATTAAGTTAATAAAGAAATATAGTAAAGAAACCTTTATTTAAGTATTTTAGTTATTATATTATTAATTGTTATTATTATTAGAAGTTAGAAGATGATAATAATGTTTAATAAAGAATTATTACTGGAGTATTTATAGTGTCATAAACAAGTTGACATGAATGTATATATATGTTAAACATGTGACATTTTCAACTAAATATATTATTTATGGAAGATTATTACTATTTTAAGAGTTATTTATTATAAAACTAATTATTACTATTTTAAGAGATATTATTATAAAACTAATTATTACTATTTTAAGAATATTATTATAAAATTAATTATTGCTATTTTAGGATTGTTAATTATAAAAATCACCTTAAAGATGTTGATACTGTTTCATTACACATTTAATATAAAAAGCAAGGGTAGGAAAGCCTGGTTAAATCCGTGTGACTTAAGATCTCATCCTGTCGGTTCGCGAGTTCGAATCTCGCCTCTTGCAATAATCTTTTTTCTTCGATATAAGAAATATCTTCCCGGAGATTTCGGTAGTTCTTAATTTCTATTGTCTTCATCACTATCCTCAGATGATGCATATCAAGTTACCGCTCCGGGTTCGAAACCCAGTCTCAGCAAGTTTTCAGAATCACACACGAATTGACGTTACCGTGCCCAACTTGTATGCAGTGTGGGTATTGGTAATTGGTAAATTCTAATTTTTTTATCATTTTCTTTGCCGTTCTAATACCTTCATTAAAAAATGATTTATTTTCGCCTCTGGCATACTCTAATAACTTGATGATTTTTTCTGGTGTTAATTTCATTTTTATAAAATAAAATTAAAAATAAAATATGTTTGTAAAATAAGTGTAATAAATTATAAAAATTATAAAATGTGTGATATATATAAATTAATGATAATTATAAAAGATGATTAAAATATAAAGATGTATAAAAATAAAATTATAAAGATATGCAATATATTTATTAAATTTTTTTTTTTTTAAAATTATTATAATTATTAATAATAATTATTATTAATTTTTTTTTAATTTTAATTTTTTTTTTTAATACTCTATAAAAAAAAAAAAATTATAAATAAGTTTAAGTTAAAATAATAAAAACTGAATATAAGGTTATTATAAAATTACTTTATTTTTATTATAAAATTACCATATTTTTATTTTATTCAATTCACCCTTTTAATTTAAAATAAAATATAAATAAACTTGAGTTAAAATAATATTATTGATTTTTATTTTTGTTATATTTATAATTTACTATATTTGATTAATAATGGGTGTACTTTGGTATAAAATACATATTTATCTAATGGAATTGAGGTAGCAGCCCAACTTGTATTCATTAAGAATCATCATTTTTATTTTTATTTTGTATTTACCACCATTGTTTTTTAAATTTTAATTTTTTTTATTTAAATATTTTGTATTTACCACCATTGTTTTTTTTTTTTAATTTTTATTTTATTTTTTTTTTTTATTTATTAATTTAGTATATTCTTTTTTTATTTTAGTATATTTTTAGTATATTTTTAATAATATTAGTGAAACGGACAAACCAAAACATAGTCATGATATTTTCAGAATTAAAATATATGAACTTTTTTTTGATCATTATTTTGGTGAAAAATGCACAAAAGAATGCCTCCAAGATTTTATAAAAGCATTAGAGCGAAATATTGCAAGAGAACAAACTATTTTAAATATTTACAAATCACTTAAAATTTCAGAAAATGGAACTATTCCCAATTTTCATCTTGGTGATGTTTTGAACTATTACAGAGGAGATGATAATTTAATTGATAATGAAAATATTCAAGATTTATTTAAAGTAAAGTAAATTTAAATTTATTGGACTTAAACTTTCCAGATATAAGAAAAAGAACAGATGTAACCCAAAGTGAAGAAAAAGAAAAAGAAAACAAGAACACAGAGGTAAATGATATCTAAAACTCATTCATCTTTTTAAAAAATAATTAAAATAAAGTTTTATATTTTTTATTTTAAATTTATTTATTTTATTTTCTTTCGATATATTATTTCGATGTGTAGCATTTTCATTTTCTACCGACATTACTTATGAATTTTCACCATTACCAATGTTTTTAATTGCTTCATTATATTTTTCTATTTGATTTATAATTTCATTTTTTATTTTTTCATTTTCTTTTGAATAATTTTCTATTATCTTTAAAATGATCAATGTCGAATTTACTTGATTGGAGCGAGGTAAGTCTTAGATACATATAGTCCTTTTCTGTCATATTCCACCTTTTCGAAATAAGTGAGTGTAAATAATTTGTTTTATAGTTCTTCATCTTCATCATTTTTTTATTAAATCTGCAACATCTTTTCTTTCTTTACGATTTTTCTCAAGGTTTGTATAGTGATCGCTCCTTCTTATTCTTAGTTCCAATATTATATCTTTTTGAGTATAATAGACTGGATTATCGGTAGTTGCACCGGAATATACATTTTGAATTGATTTGCTTTGTTAAGTTTCAAATTCCGAAATCATTAAAGGTAAAAAATTCTTTTTTGCCAATATATTTCTCGATTCACTATCACCTTGTTTTTTCCATTCTTCTGCTTGTTCTGGGTTAATTTCATATTTTTCCATATCTCTTCACATTATAATTGACAACATTTTCTTTTCGTTTGCAAAAAAACCAAGTGAATTTGGGTCTTCCAATTTTGCTATAATGATGAATGTGTGAAATACATATATATGCCGTGTCATTATAAAAAAATAAAATAAAAGGAGAGCCCTTAAAAGTATAAACAACAACTACTTTTTTTTAAAGATATAATTAATTTTCTAAAAAAAAAAACCATATAAATTGAGTAAAAAAAAAGTTTTTGAACAAATACACTCTTTTTAATTTATATTATAATACTTTATTAATATTAATAATACATTTATATACACTTTATTTATAAACTAAATAAATTTAATTTAAATAACTGTTACATTATAAACCAATTTAATTTAATTTAATTTTTTTTTTTTTAAACTTTAATTTAATATGTGTTGATAGGTGTACAAGTTCGGTTTTTCTTTATGGTCAACGAGTTCTTTTTGTTTTAAACAATCAAAAAACCAATCCAGTGTAACCAAGGTTTCATATTTTGTTGAATCAAACAAACCCGAGGGAGGTTGAATTAAACATACGACATAATGTACTTTTTTTTTATCTAAACGGGAATCGTATTCGATGGTTGAGAATTTTGATAAATGACAAAGTTCATGGAATATATCGTCTCTAAAATCGCTCTATTAAAAAAAAAAGAACCAATTAGTACTTTTCATTAACACAGTTAATAAATGGATCTAAAACTTACAGCACGAACATTATATCCTAAAGTTTTTTTAATTAGATCATTTTCTTCAATTCTTTTCTTCATATCTTCATTATTAGATAATTCAATTTTTGATGGGTACACACTATATTTTTTTTTTCCAAAGAGTTGATTTTGGAGCTTTTCTTCTGTTAAACTGCCATCATAAAGTGAATTTTCTTTAACAATCTTTGCTCTAGCTTTATAGGTTTTGAATTTATAAGTTGGAAAAATAAAGTTGTTTGGAATAATTAAATAATTTGTATTTATATTTAGTTCAGCTTCTAAACGACCATGGCTATTTCTGATAAACTGTGTGACATTCTCTGTAATTAAAATATGTTAGAAAAAAATTTATGGTCCTATTGTTTTATTAAACATTATAATTACCTCTATCCTGAGTTTGGAAAAATTCTGATACACTAAATGTCTTTGTATTAAAGTTATAAGGGGTAATTTGATTGTTTTTATTGGGTTGTAGGGTTTTATTGGATAAAGTTATTTTTGGTACTTCTTTTTCTATTTGCTCATCCAATTGTTTTCTTTGTTTAGTTGATTTTAATTTCGATGGGTTTTTTGAGATAGTTTTAATTTTTGATGATTTGGTTGGTATCGATGTTCCTCTTGATCTTGAATTAATTTCCTTTCTTTTCTTAGCTTCAAACTCTGGCTTCTTTGGGTTGTATTCTTTTGCTTTGGTATTTGATTGTGCATTATTATTGCTATTGCTATTATTATTGCTATTATTATTGCTATTATTATTGCTATTATTATTGCTATCGCTATTATTATTGCTATTGCTATTATTATTGCTATTGCTATTATTATTGCTATTGCTATTATTATTATATTCTTTTTCATCGTTGCAATGGTCATTGTTACTTAACTCCTCTATAATTGGTGAGTTTTCTCTTTCTTTATCCTTATCTAAATATGGTTTTGTTTTAAAAGTAAAAAAAATTTCTTTTATATTTATAATATCACCATCTACCAATTCAGTTTCGGTTGTTAATTCTTTACAATTAACCTTAACTTGTGATTGATTATAGTTGTTTATGTAAACCCTCTTTGATTCGACCGTTACATATGCATAAGTTTTTTTAATATGGTCTGGTATAATTGGGATATTATTGTTTTTTTTACTGTTATAAAAAATTTTTATTAAAATAATTAGTTATTGAAATCTATATTATTGGGATGAAAATATAAGTAGTTACCTTCCAATTGAAAAAGTTTTTGTTTGAATTTTAAAAGCTAGAGGACCAAACTTTGGGTTTATATAATAAAAAATACCAAAATTATCAACCTTCTTTTTTTTATTTGAACCCATTAAATCTGTTTCTGCCAATCTTTTCATTGACGATGTACTGGAGGATGCTGAATGGTTTTTATTAACATTATTATTACAATTACTATTATTATTATTATTATTATTATTGTTAACTATATTATTGGTATTATTGTTTGTTTCACTTTGTTGCGTTTGATAAAAGTTTGGATTTGGAATATAATTATTTACAAGATTGCTTTCAGGAAAATTTTTATTTGGTGTTGAGAATGGTGATTCTGTGTTGTTATTAATACTATTATCATCTTTCTTTGGAGTATTGAATGGTGAAAATATATTTGAAAAAGCATCTTTATTAATTACTATATGGTAATTAGAACTATTACAATATAATGACCCTATTGGATTTGCTAAAATATTCGCACTATTGTTACCCATATCGTTATTCATATTGTTCGTATTATTATTATTATTATCTTTATTATCTTTATTATTTATACTATTAGTATTATTACCTATATTATTGTCATTATTGTTGACACTATTAATATTCATATATTTTGGGCTATTAATATTATCTATATCATTTCTATTATTCATATTATAATTTATACTATTATTACTATTATTACTATTATTACTATTATTACTATTATTACTATTATTACTATTACTATTACTTTTACTCTTATCTTTATTGCTATTATTATTAATTCTTTCGCTATCATTTCCTTTTTGGCCAGTCCTATAGGTTCCCATATGTCTGCTTCTTCTTTGTGGGTTTGGTGTTGTTAATTCTGGTGAGGTTGATGAATTTATAGTTCCTTCATCGTTAGGTTCTGAAATTGGTACAACTGATTCAGGAACTAATGAATCGTTGTATTGTATAGGCATTATAGGGGATGATATAGGTGATACATTTGGAGTAGAGTGGTCTGAATGTCCAAAAAATGTTATCATTATTAATTGCTTTTTTTATAGTAATAAATGATTTATTTTTTTATTTTTTTATTGTGTGGTGGTGTTCAAATAAAAAAATAAAAAAAAAATAAAAAAATAAAAAAAATAGAAATAATTGGAAAAATAAAAAAAAAATATAAAAAAAATAAAAAAAGCAAATAATAATGTCAATATATATATATATTTAAATAAATATAATAAAGAAAATATTATGCGTGTACTTTTAATAAATTGTAATTTTTTTATTTATAACGCATGCAAATTGATTATTTAAAAAACGAAAAAGAAAAAAAAAAAAAAAATTAAAAAAATAAAAAATTAAGTAACAACTAAATTTTAAAAATTTTTTTAAATTTTTTTTTAATTTTTAAGGGTTTTTTTGGGAAAATGACTTTAATTCCCCCAAATAAATAAAAGAAATGCAAATAAAATTAAAATATGTGGTTTAAAATAAAAGTGTAATATAAATATTCTTAATTTTTTTTTTTTTTTTTTTAAACCAATTTAAATTATTAATTTAAAAAA